AAAAGAAAAAAGGAAAGAAGAGAGAAAAAGGCAAAATAAAAAGGTACAAATATCTCTTATTTTGTATGTGTGGCTTTCTTCCAGAATCTATAATTTTGATGCAGGGTCCAAGTCAAGATGTGTCCCTGCTCACACCTATAGATAAAGGAAGCAGTCAGGCCAGGCCCCAGATCTGTGCTGGACAAAGGCCTCAGCAGACAGTAGGACAAGTTCGCCAATGCCACTCCTTTCAGAGCCCATGCAACTCAGGTTGAGCCTGGCCTCTGGCCACAGGAGCTGGGTCTGTGTTCTTTAGATTCAACCCCTCCAACCTCTGTGTCTCTTTCTAGTCTGTTCTCTGACCACTGTCTACTGTGGCTGCCCTTCACCCAGTTACTTTGGGAACAGAACTCTGGAAACCCTGGAGTGGAGCCAAGTAGCTGCTCTATGTCCTGGGTTCAATCGCTCAGTACTTCCCCAGAATGGCATCCTAGCAAGCACTACCTCCCAGGGAATGGTGGACGCTCATATTGGGGTCATTCAATAGCTGCTGCCTGTAGGAGGACACACAGGGAACAGAGTCCTGTGCTCTCTTTGCAGATCACAGCTGCTGCTAGTTCACTCTGTTCTGCTTCAGTGTTTCTCCACAAGGAGGGATTTTTTTCCTTTCATTTTGCTGCACGGGCCTTGGCAAGCTGCTTGCATCCACGTGGTCTACAGAGACAGTGTAGAGGTTCCCCTCCTTTCTCCATGATGCGTTCTCTTTCTCCTTTACTTAAAAAAATTTTTTTTTTATCAGATCCCTCATGGCTAACAAGGAGCTACTTCTCTCCTTGTTTCTTCTCCAAGTTGTTGTGGGTACCGAATTGGAAAGGTTGAATTGTAACTCATCACGCCACCATTTTTCTCCCTTATTCTGCTTTTTAAGTGAGAAAATATACTGTAATTTTTAACTTAGATATTATTATAGACGAATCTTCTGGTCTATTCTTTTAGAAATTTTGCATAGCTCATAATATGGATGTCATTTTTTTTTTTTAACCTGGGATCAAACACAGGACTTTGTGCTTGTGAGGCAGGTGCAGTGCCACTGAGCTAAATCCTCGGCCCTGATGTGTCATAATTTTTTACTGCTTAATTGCTGGACATTTAGAGTATATTTAAGTGTTTAACTTTATATTAAAATATAATACATGTATCATTACAAATTAGGTATTTGTGTATATTTATAAAAGTGGTAATTGGTAGACTAAAAAGAATACATTACATTATCTATTATTACTACTGCATAGGTACTGTATAAGCATGGTATAAAGAAATAGAAAAGGGATATAAAAACAAAGGCTCCCAATACACATTATGTCTTCCATGGTTAAAAAGAAAAGTTTGGAGCATCTATGATCTGCGATATCTACCCATCTATCTATCTATCTCAGGTCACAAACTTAATTCTTTCCACAGTTCTGGTCACAAACTGAATTGACCAAGAATCAAATCAAACTCAATGGTTAGGTTCAACGTTGACCTTATGGGGAGATTTGATTTGGTTGTCAACCAATTTGGACAGACAATAAAACTTTAATGTGATTAGGTACATCAGTGACTATCTTGATATTGAATATTCAATTACATTCTGGCTTACTATGGGCAATGTGGCAGGTTCTTACAAGCATTTAAACTGGCAAATCCAATTGCCTAATAGACCTTAATCAGAAGATAGACTTTTTTTTTTAAAAACCAGCAAATTTTCACCTTTTATCGCTCTTCTAAGTACATAAACTCTGCGAATCTAGTGTTAACTATTTGGTTGATGTGCCCAATAGTATTGTCAACTTGACTCGTTTGAGGCAGTTGAAGAGGTGCTTGTGTCATGGGGGCATTATTCTCATCTGTGGATTAATCCACTGTTGTTCAGAACTGCATGTACTGTTAAGAAGTGGAGCCCAGTTGGAGGAGCTGGGTCACTGGAAGGATTTTGGAAGGTGTATCTCGTTAGAATTCTTCCCCTGTGCCCTGCTTCCTGGCTGTGATGAAATGAGCGGCTTTGCTCCACTATGCCTTGACACCATCATTTCAGCCAATCATAGACTCCAAATTTCTTGAAACTGTGAGCCAAATAAACCTCTCCTTTAAATTGCAAGTATCAGATATTTTGACCCAGCAACTGGAAAGCTGATCCATACAGCTCATAAATATTCTCATAAGGAATACTTACAGTTGCCCAGAATAGACAAAGATAGACGTCACCTCAACGATCTTTGCATTACAGAGGAGTCAAGACCAGAGTGTAAGCTGAGGGCAGGGATTTTTATTTTCTCTGATGTGTCCCCAGTGGCATGTGAAAGGCATTTAACAAATACTGGCTGACTGCCTATTTAGCCAAGAACTTGAGGACATAGGCTTTCAAATTCTGATTCCAAAATTTAAATAAGAGTGAGCTAAGATATATTCATTCTAGCATGCATACAAAACAAAGCCAAATGATGTACCGGAGGAGTAATGAGATGCAAATCATGCTACATGTACCATACATCACCTCTTTTAGTTTTAGCTTTTTAGCTTACAATGCTAGGTTATCTAGTCCAATCTTTGCATCCTTGCATGACATATGCAAGTACATAATACAAGTCAACTTACACATAAGAAAATAAAAATGTTTATTTTTAAGAGACCGAGACACATACAGTCCATTGATTTACATTTAATAGATTGTCACGAGATAAAATTCTTTAGGAAAAAGGAAGATCTCTCATGTTTGTTATTAAATTGGTAGTAGTATTGACTATTTTTTTGATTCTAGGAAAAATAGATACATCTATTACTTTTTTACCAAATAGAAGCAAGTTCTGACAGCCTATTTGTCCCATTATGGAAATTATTAAAGAATAATTTTAAATTTCTACGCATTTTTTTTTGTCCCAAATGGCAAGTGAGAATAGACTTTTGAAAAACCAAATAAAACTTGAGACTCAAATGAAGCCTTTTTCTCATAATTTTTTCTAAAAAGAGAAGTAAAATGTTTCCAACTGAAAGCACAGATTAAGCTTAATATTACCTATTGTTTTGGGGAAACAATGGCATCTGTACCTATGATGTAAATCTAGTTTGACAGAATGTATGCTTTTGGGGCATAAGGATACACTACAAAAGGGTACTATCACTGGTAAAAAACTAAGTCAGTAAGTAAAATTCTGATTATAGATTTGTCATTAGCAATCAAAATATGCTTTCAAAAACTTCTTAAACAATTTTTTGAAATTTATTTCTAAAAGTCACAGAGATAAAAACCTTAAAAGTAACATTTATTTTAATGTTACATGCATGAGCAAAAAAAAAACCACAGGAAGACGAAAATTACCATAGTAAATTTTTAATTAATACAGTATTCTGGATACAAGTAGAATACAACTAGATATCAACTGTATTTACCTCAGAAATCTATGATAGTATGGGTTGAGATAAACCAAGATTTATGATAAGACATTTCACTATTCACATTTTAATCAGTGCTAACCAGAAGCGGAAGCAATTTTAGGCAAAGATTTTCAATAAAACTGTAGAACTAATCTTCCAAGTAAATGAATGAAAAATGTGACCTGTCTACATTTAACATCAGTTGGGACAAGCTGAACATGAAGAGCTCTTACAAAGACTAAGCATCAAATGTCAAACTGTGGCTTTTGTTTTGGGCCACCTTAAATTTTATTTTGCTTATATGTGTTTCTATTAACATTCACATACAAATTCTTTTGGGTAAAAGTATTAACATGGAACTTTCAGCTTGGAGATCTTGCCAGCTATACTTACAGTAGTGTATAAGGAATTAATACTTCAGAACAATTCCAAGCTAATAACTAATTGGCTACAAACTTTATAGTTTTCTGGTCCCTGAAAATTTGGTAGGGCCAAATGATCTATTAACTGAAAGTAGCGTTAAAAAAAAAAAAAAAAAAAAAACAACAACATAATAAACAAAAAAAAAAACAAAACAGCTCATAAAAAAAAAAAAAAAACACCACCCAAAAAAAAATGACAACAACAACCCCTGCGATAGCCACACACACAAACAAAAGAAAAAAAAACCAAAAGCAAAATCAAAACAACAAAAAAACAATAAACAGTAACCATAAACAGAAAGTCAAAAACACAAACAAACACAACCAGACAAAGACAAACAATACAAAAACATAAGCAGAAGGCAAAGGAAAAGTAAAAAAGAAAAAATACAAATTATACACACAAAACATAAAAAAGAAAAAAAAGACAATATTTTCAAAAAAATAGAACAACACAAAAACAATATATATAAAACACAAAGCTTCTACACACACGTCCACTCTACCTCCAAAGCAGCATATGCCTCTTAGATCTTCTCATTTGCTATCTAACATATGCCAATCATGGTTTCAGGGATCTGTACCAATCTGAGCAGGCTAAAACAATCATCCTTATTTATGAGACAAAATTAACCAGTTTCAGGAAACTAATGTTTCATAATCAGTAAAGAAACAGTATTAACCAATCAGGATGGAAAACTCTCCTAAGGATATGACAGAATCCTAACAGAATGGATTATGACCTTAGATAAAGAAAATGTGGATATGAGGAGCCTGGAAAAACACATCTAAATATATATACTAAATGATATATATCAAATCATTCGTAACTACCAGAAACACAAATGTGAATTTTTTTCTTTATTGGTTCTACTAAAAGCTGTGGTCACATGTTTACTGGTGGTACAATCACTACCCAAATAGGGAGCAATCTGAATCATGAATTTCAAAAACCTAGAAAGATTGTATATCTAACCTTATTTTTGTATTCTGAAAATAGTGCTGTGAAATCCAATTATTTTCCTAGTTTCTTGGATCTTTCATCTTAGGTAATTAAATTTAAACATGGTTGCCTGCAAATTCTTTCCTAGAGAAAAGCAAAACACATTTTGGTTATGTTTTGCTGGTCTCCTCATGTATGTGCTTTATCAACTGGAGTGCTACTCTGGGCATTTATTGTGCTACTATAACATAACCAAACATGAAGAAAATTCAAAGTTCAAATTTTGGCAACTGACTTAATTTTTTTTTTTTGGTAGCAGGCTTTTAAATGAAAAAATGTAAAACCAGATGGTCACTCTGACAACTTGAATTAGGTACTTTAATCTGTAAGACACTTAAGGAAAACTGTATGAATTATTTTTTATTTACTTTGGTTTTTAAATAAAGATTTGTGTTAAAATGACCTCAAAGATAACTCTAAGTCACATAGGGCATCACTTATCACTGCTCTGTAACAAAAATGTAACTGTTTTTTTACTTGAATTTTTCCAATAACTTGTTTTTTTATTAAACATCTTATCCAAGTTTTTAGCTGTTAAATTTCTTAAATACAACCTTGCTTTCTTATAGGCTAAACTACTTTGATAACCTTAGAGGATAGTGAAGCTCAGATATAGATAATATTCCGAACATGGCTGACCTTTAATAGAACTGATTATTTTCTCAACCAAACAGCTATGCAGCATACTGCCAGATCTCCACTATAAGTCTTGACAGAAACAAAGCAGATAAAAGTGAAAGAAAAGTAGTTTCTATTTCTAAACTCATAAAATCTTATGGAAAAATGTATAGAAAGAAATTTCCTTGTTTGATCTGTCAGCCAAAAATCAACTAATTCTCTATAAAAAGAGGAAACTCAACCATATAATGTCTGTTTAAATTGTCAGGCTGGAAGTGACACAAAGACATTTACAAAAAAACCTGCATATTCAAGAAGATGCTTAAAATGAAAGCTATTTCAAAATTCTGTACACATTGTGAGAAACTAAAATCTTGTCACTGCAAAATTCTCCATGGCTTTTGGCACTAACATTAAAAGAGTTTAGTCTTCTGGTGACTTGAAGCTGCTACTAAACAGAACAGTAAGACTTTAAAAAGACAGTGAGGAATTGAAGGATAGGTTAGGTAACTATTTCAAATACACATAAAATATAGTTTGAAATAAAGTCATTTCTGGTAGGGATCTCAAGATATAATAACAGTTTCTCATCACCTCTTCCATTTTGAAGAGGATCCTCTAATCAGAATAATTCCTTTAAGTTACTCTTGAGTGGTGTTGCCTGGCAGCAGCTTCAATTTTCTAGGCTGGCCTTCAATCCAGATAATTAAGTAATCTCACAAGGAATAATCATACATGGCAACAGGGTTAAAAAAAGCATGGAATTTTTTCTATGCACAAACATTCCAGGAGAAAACCCATCAATTTTAAAGATAACCATCAGGTTTCAGGTATCCTAGCACACTCTATACCTAAGTTTTGCTTAAACCATTGGTGACTAAAATTAACAAGTTGTGCCGTGAGGATTTTTTTTTTGTTTTTTTGCCTGCATCTATATATACATTGCAAACCTATTCTGCATCACATGATTTTAAATGAAATAAATATAAAAATGAACCACAAAATCAACACATAACTTTAATACTCCACATTATTTATCTTGATCACAATGGTGGTAACCTCCTTGTCAACAATCCTGTGAGTTGAGGAGCTGATTCTCATTCTCATATCCGTCAGGCAGATAAGCTCTCCTTAGTTGGTCTGACTTAGGTATGGAGCCTCCATTCTTCACATGGCGAGTCAGGAAAGCACGGACTGCTGGGTGATCAGCCTTCTCAAGGGGGATGTTGGCTTCCAGGCACATTTTCACAAAGTCCTGGATAACACTGACTTTTTCTGTTTGCGCAGTACTGTTGCACTGAAGAGATGCAGTTAGAGGCCTCTGCTTCTTTCTCACATTCTGCTCTTCAAATTCTGCCTTCCTCTTGGTATGAGTCTTTGACTTGAGGTGGTCACTAATGGCAGACTTGCGAACATGATTCAGAACCACATTGCAAGAAGTACAGAAGAGTTTTCCTCCATCTTCATGAAGCTCACCTCCAAACTCAGTGACTCGATCCAGGGGAGTCACATACAAAGCAGTCTTAGAACGGTTTCGAGCAGGTGGTGCTGTTACTACAAATCGTTCCATTCTTTGAGTAACTTTGAGTAAGGTTCTTCCAACACAAGAGAAACAAAGATAAGATTGTAACAACAGTTTATTCTCAAAGCAGTTAATAGTAAAAAGTAGAGTACAAGTATGTTAAGATTAAAGACTTCAAAAAACAATTTAAATTAGATGACTGTGTATTCATTAAATTTAACTCATCTGCTGAGTGTGGTGGTGCATGCTTGCAATCCTAGCACTATGGGAAGCTGAGGCAGAGGGCTCTTAAGATGGAGCCCAGCCTGGGCAACTTAGGGCAACTTGACCTCATGTAAAAAACATAAAATGGTGGTGGTACTGGGGGGTGAAAAATGATCAAAGTATGTTATGTGCATGTATGACTCTCCCAAAACAAAACTCATTAGTCTGTGTAATCAATAAGAGAGTAAAAAGAAAAAATTCAAGAGTATTAATTATATAACTCACCAATTTAGATATGTATTCACATTTTAAAGAGTTTCTTGGCGGGGGGTAAAAGCTTCAATTCTAGGGAAATTGGCTTTGGGAGCTCAACTATGTAGTTTGTTCTAACAAGCGGGCCACTAACGTGGCATTAATTCCATGAACATGGATATAATATCCAAAACTATTATAATAAAGACAAGTAAAATCAATAAGGACATTAAAATTTAAAGCCAATATATATACAGTTCAAAGTCATTCATTTTTAATGCAGGTATACCTAAGTTTTCAAAATCATAATACTCAAGATATTGAAAGAGCTCTTTCTACAATTCTTGGTTTATTTCCATTGTAGATGAATAATTAATTTATTAATATCTATTTCACTTACTAAGGAAAAAAAATCAAGAATTTAATACAGTGTCCAGAATATAACAGATGATCAATCAAAACTTGTTGATTGAAAAAGTAAACGAAGGGCTGGGTATCCAACTCAGTGGTGGAGTACTTGCTGAGTACAAAGGAGGCCCTAGGTACTATCCATAGCATCACACACACACTAAATAAATAAATAAATAAAATAAACAATAAATTACAGAGAATCTTTACTATTTGTCCAAATATTTAATTTACAAGCAGCTTAATAATTTCTCAATTTATCCTAAAAACAACTTACAATCAATGGAATAAGTGTAAAAAAACATTAACAGTGTGGACACTGAAAACCTGAGATACTAAACATACTTTAGTTGGTGACAAATACTAGGTAAGTCTTAATGTTTCCCTAGGGCCTGTCTTGGAACTAAATTCTTACAATTACTAAGATTTCATGATATTAAAACAGGGCCAGGGATTTATCTCAGTAGTTCTGCTGCCTACCCTGCCAGCACAAGGACCCGAGTTTGATCCCCAGTACCAAAAAAAAAAAATCAAGATATTAAAAAAAATTTGATAGGATTCAAAAGGAATTCTGTTCTTTGTAAGTATTTTAGATAAGGATTCTTAAGTGTATTGTGAAGAATTATGCTTTAAAGGATAATCAGAAACAACAGAGTATTCCATTGCTCTAATCAATAGTAAAGAATCAGTAGCTGGGTGACATAAAATTTCTCTCAAGAGAACTTTAAACTGTCAATGTAGGACATCTGTGGACCCAAATCAGAGGACTTAACATTTCACAGAAATTCTGATAAGTATGATAAAGTTTAGCTTTTAACAGACTTAAATTCTATTTTTTTCATTAAAAATTTTTTTAGAAGTGCACAGCTCTCATTTTGTCAGATACAGGTTTGCAGTGGCAGAGAAGACAGATATTACTGCCAAACACTTTGCGAATTATCATTACGCGTATCTTTAAGTAATGGTGTCTTACACTCTAACAAATCAGTCCCCATGATTAATAGCTCTAATATAATTATGAATCATTAAATATGTGTGCCTAGTGATGCTTACATTTTACTTTCTCCATGAAAAATCTTCTATCTTTAAATATATGTATTTCAAACTTTGAAACAAATTCTTTGTGGTATAAAATGTTCAGTCACTTGTGGTGTGAAAAGCCAGTACTTTTGAAATGTCTTATAACTTACAAAAAGTCGTTAGTGTTACTACAGTGGACAGGCCAGTTAACATACCCAAAGAACAAAAGTGCTTTCAATAGCAAATATTTTAAACAAGGAAGTTAAAAAGAGTAGGAATTAGCAAACGAATGAGAAGCGGCATTAATGAACTAGGCTGAAAATAAAACTTATCATAACTTTTTAAGTTTAAATGTTTACCGGATTAGTTTCCAGTTTTTTTCTGGATAATTCGTAGAGAAGGGTCTCCAGCGTAGTACCAGAGACGCATCAAATCCCCGCACTTTCCGTTGTTCAAACCGACCGCTTTCAAATCAGATTTTCAACAAGTGGTGTTGAGGAAATAGCTTCTGGGCTTGCACCCTATTTTCCCTGAGGTGCCGGGAAATCATGCCTCTACTGCAAAATACGAAAAACAAATGTAACGAGACGATGGGGGAGGGGGAGCGAACGAAGTAGTGGATGAATATAGGAAAAATAACTTCAACAGCTACCAAGCAGGTGTCGGTAAAATCGCTCCTTGGGTAATTCCACATCCCAAACGGGATCCCAACGTTTACCCCCACATCTCCCACCCGAGCTCCTCCTCGACTGTTCGCCCCGCAGGGCACCTCATCGCGCTCCCCAGGTCACAGGTTCCGGCGCGGACAAGCGGGACGGGGAGGGGCCTGCGGACTACCTCCTCCCGCTCCCAGCCCAGCAAGCCCGCACCCCGCCGCGCCGACCCCGCTAGCCGGGCTGGGCCGCGTCTCAGCTGCCCGCTGTGGGCCCGGGAGTTGGCAGCCGTCTCAGGGGAGGAGGCGTCGGGCGCCTAGAGGCGGCCGCTGTCAGGTTTCCCGTCTCCTCCTTCTTCCTTTGGCCGACTACGGCCCCTGGCCCCGCCCCCGGTTCCCGCTTCGGACCGAAGGCCCGGGGCCCACAGCCCGCACCAACGGCCGGGCCCACCCTCGGCCTCCCGAGCTGCTCGGTACCGTAAGACTGTGGCCGCTGGGAAGGGAAGTAGACGAGACCCGGCCGGAAAAAAAAAAAGAAGGAAAGTAGGAGAGGAAGGAAAGGAGGAGGAAGGGGTTGAAGAAGGAAAAGGACCCGTCGCCGCCGTTGCTCGATCCAGCGCCGCGGCGGCCGCCGTGTCCCCCGCCGCGCCCCGTCCTCCTGCACCGCCTATGGCAGAACCTGTGGGCGGTCCCCAGCAACGGCCGTGCAGTTTTGACCAACAGAGGGCGAGTTGCTCAAACAGACGGCCAATTTAACCAATAGCAATAGAAGGGCGGGAATAGAAATGATTGGCAGTTATCTATACCCAATTCCAACTGGGGGCGTGGGTAGGCGGAGCCGGAAGTAGGGCCCCGTCGAGTGGCCCCCTGTCCGCCTGGGGCGGAGGGAAGGGGGAGGGAACTGGAGGAGGAGGAGGTTAGCCGAGGCAGCTACGGCGGCGGCGGCGGCGGCGGCGGCGGCAGCGGCAGCGGCAGCGCAGGGGCTGGTACGCGCTGGGCTGCGAGAGCCTCATGGCGGAGGAAGAGAGCGACCAAGAGGCCGAGCGCCTCGGGGAAGAGCTAGTGGCCATTGTGGAGTCTCCATCCGGCCCTATAGGGGTCGGAGCTTCGGAAGACAGCAGAGGTAGCGCTGGCGGCGGCAGCGGCGGCGGCGGCGGCGGCGGCGGCGGCGGCGGCGGCGACGGCGTCGGCGTCGGGATCAGCAGTCGGGATTACTGCCGGCGCTTCTGTCAGGTGAGGCGCCCATCGGCCGCCCGACTTGTCACCCGGGTCCTGGGCCTCTGCGTCGGTTGGCCTTCAGGCCCATGGAGCTGGGCTGTGTCCGCAGCTCGCTTCTCCAGCCCAATGCAGAGGGTGAGGGTGAGCCCCATCCCCCCTCCTGCACCTATCCCGCTTGGGGTGGGGGACGGGAGCAGGACCGGGCTGACCTGACCGCCTAGGGTTGCTGAGAAAGTGAGAGTTTGTCACTGTGGAGGGGCTGGAGAGAAGGAGGGTCAGTTAGCCGGAAAGCTCTGTCTTGACATGCCTCCCCTGCCCCAGACAGACCCCTTCCTGCCCGAGGGTCCCGCCTTTCTTAAGTTTCCTACCGTTTCTTGTCACGTCATTTGGAACCTCTGGTGAAAAACATTTTCTTCCTTTCCGCTGGTCCCTTGCACCCCATGTTCTTCTTTTCGGAGATGGGAGGCATGTCATCTCTACCGCCTCTTCTCCTGTCATCGTCACCCCTCCCCCTCTGCTAGGGTCTCCTGTCATCCCATCACTAGATCCCGAAGAGCCAGTTTTCTAGTTGGCTGACCCAGGGTGGTTTAGTTACTTTTTATTTCATGGGTGGGGCGTTACGAGAGTGTGATGGTCAACTTTACTTTTTTCCTTTTCCCCCTGCCCTCTGGACATACGCACTCTCCTAATTAACTGCTCTTGGAGAACGTCCTTTTGGTTAAAACTATTCTCCAGTTACATCACCACCCTTCTCATTCTTTAAATTACAATGCATTTTGTTTAGCCCGTAGAATGCAGTGTCCAAACAGTGACGGCACATTATTCCCCAGTAGGATTGGACGTAGTCTAGACTTTGACTGTAATCAAATATCGTACCAACCAGCCTACTTGTTTAGGGGTAAAGTTTTGTAATCTGTATTCTCATCATTTATAATTTAGATGTTTGTTCCCATTCATAACACTCTTTGTTTTGCAAACCGCTTTGGAAAAAATTAATAATAATTCCTTTTTCATCGTACTTTCAAATTTATTGTCTTGGATATGTAGGGTTCAAATCCTGGCCCCACCACTTTTTAGTTGCTTACCTTATATAAGTTAACCTCTTGCACCTCAGTTTCCTCTTCCATCAGTTAGGGATAGCAGTTAAGTAGATATGTAATGGGTTTGGATCAGTTAGCTATTAGTTTTATTCTGGTAGAAATATGAAATAATGCTAACAAGAAAGCAAAAGTATGAAGTTGAGAATTTCAGTGCTTAAGTTTAAATTTTTCTTTTTCTTCTTCTTTTTTTTTTTTTTTTACCGGGATCGAACTCGAGACCTTGCATTTGCGAGGCAGGCGGTGAAACCACTGAGCTAAATCCCCAGCCCCTTAAGATTAAATTTTGATTTCATCCCCCCCCCGCCCCCGCTGCCGTAGATAAGTTGGTTTGAAGGCTGAAATCATCTTGATATTAAAGTGTACACCAGTTTCTTTGACATTGCTCTCTAGTGACTTTCTTGAAGATGTATTTTTATTTTGATAATTACATTCACTCGATTTAGAAGTTCAGTCTTGTTTTTAAAACACTTGTTTTTTAACTATACATTTTACATCTAGAAGCCATGCTATTGGTAACTTTGTATCTATAGAAATTTTAAACTTCTGAAAATGTGCACACAATTCATGTTTTTAATGTATTAATAGGTATACTCTCAGCCTGGCTTTGGCTACATTACTTTTATTGTTTCATCAAATAACTTTTAATTGCTGAAGAATTTGAAATTTTACATTTTTGGAGAACTTTTAACTACTCTTAATTTTGTTTCTTGAAATCAATTTTAAGACAAAATATATAAATTTAGCTTGTGAAAAAGTGTCTAATCATTGACAGTTAAATAGTGAAAATTGACAGTAAGATTTAAGAACAAATGAAATTGACTATTTTTAAAAATTCTACTAGCTCCTGAATATCCAAAGAAATAACACTAAATGAAAAGAACTGAATGGACCTGTATTGCATATTGTTAAATTATGAGTGTTATACTGGCATCCTTTCATGTTATCAACTTTATCTGAAATTTCATTACTTACTTTCTAATACTCTAAATTACCAGTAGATACTTTCTTTGGTTCCTGTTTGGTTTCACGTTGCAGATGAGCTTTGTGAAGTTATGTTTTATGTTTAAACCTTGAGATAGACTAAAAGAGTCACCTGTACTAAGTGGGATTTTGTCTACTGAGTAATAAAGTGCTACTATAACAATTCTGTTTTATTTGAGAGTAAGGGAAACGGTGGATTATATAACCTAATTCCCAAAAATTGTTTCCTTTTAAAGGATTTGGTTTCCTAATATTTACTGAGGGTAGTATTAAATAACTTGCATTCATTAATAGATGACTTAATCATGAATAATCCTTAAAATGGTTAATAGGCACTTGGGTGCCAGTTAACTAAATATATGAATTATATACTCTGCATCGTGGTGTTGAGAAGAAAGGCTCCAGTGTATCTTCCTCCTTTTAGAGGGAAATACGAATCAGAATTTCTTGGCAGAATCTGATGCCTGATAAAGATGTACCATGTACAGGATCCTAGTAACTCCAATCAATGTAAACATTATATGCCATAACATGAGCTAAGCAAATAATATTAACAAGTATGTAAAACGAGATAGGGAAACAAAGGGAGGAGGGGGAAGGGGAGGGAAAGGGATTAGAAAAAGAAAAAACAAGCTGTAATATGTACATGTAAGTACTCCTCAGGATGATTGTAAGCTATGTGAGTTGCAAACATGTACTAATAAAGTCTAAAAAAATTTCTTGGCAGGTGTGTAGCTTAAGGGAGAGAGGAAGGAATACTTTTGAAGAGAGGTTCTTCTGTCTTTTATTGTAAAGAAAAGTAAAACAGAAGACACAGTGTGACGTTGGACTGTATTATATACTCCTTTGGCCCTTTTTAGTAGATTCTCAATAACCCTTAAATAGAATTGGCCCTTAACTAATACTTTATTTGCTTTAATGATGAAAGGTAGGGAGGAGAAAGTAACTTTTATTGAGAGCCTATTAATCTTAATCTTTACAAAGCAAGTTACATTGCTGAAGTTGACGCCAGAACAAATTTACTTCCCTTAGGTTCCAGTAAGTGGACAAGTTAGGATTTTTTTCTTGTTTGTGCTGGGGGATTTAACCCAGGGCTTTCACACTGATCTAGATCTCCAGCCCTTTTTTTTATTTTTGAGAAAGGGTCTTCGTAAGTTGCTGAGTTGCCCAAGCAAGCCTTGAACTTGAGATCTTCCTGCCTCATCCAGAGTACTGGGTTTACAGGCGATTACCATTACATCTGACTACAAACTGGGATTTCAACCCAGCCTTCAATATCTAAAGACAGACTGAAATTACAAATATATCCCCAAATAATTTTATCTATTTATTTATTTTTTTTGGTACCGGGGATCGAACTCGGGACCTTGTGCTTTCGAGGCAGGCGCCAGAACCACTTAGCTAAATCCCCGGCCCTCCCCAAATAATTTTAAAGTGAATTTTCTTTTTTGGGAAGTTGTTACAAAGGAATCAAAAAAAGTTCTTGAAATTACTCAAGAAACCATGGGTAAAGTTAAAAAAGTACTCTTTCATTCTGCCATAGTGATAAAAAAATAACTCAGGAATCATTATTGTCTCTGCTTGTTTGGTTGCTATGAAAATTTTCCTAATTCCTGAAAGTCATTAAAATTAAATTTATTTTGTTATCAGATATAATGAAAAAATAATTTTGGTTATAAGTTACAAATTAAACAAGTAAGGTAAATTCTTAATTTTGGTGTGATAATGCAGTGAACACAAAGTGTGTTGGGAAACACTTTGATATGTTAATTAAAATAGACTTTAAAATTATTTTTTTATTACACCTTGCTTAATAGCCATCCCATGAGGATATCGTAAGTATAAAAAGAGAGTGAACATACAGTGCTTGGTACTGTACTTAGCACAGACAGGATTAAATACAGAGGCTATTAATATTTCTGTCATGTGAAATCCCCTGAAGGTTTAAGATGGACATTAGAGATAATCCAATCTGTAGTTAGTTTATAGTTTGTATCCTACAATAAAGATTAAAGTTTAAAATGTTATAATTTTTAAATTGTTTTTATTACCCAGTGTTCCTGGTGAAGCACAATGATTTGGAAAACAACTATATTTTCTCTATGGCAGGTGTTCTCAGAGATTCTGGGGAAGCATAGAAATTTCTAATTATTTTTGATTGTCATAATTGGTAGCTAGTGGGTAGAGGCCAAAGATACTGCTGAACATCTTTCAGTGTAAAAGATAACAAAGAATTACCTGGTCTAAAATATTAGTGGGGCCTAGGTTTAGAAACCTTGCTGTCCCTTTGCTTTGGGACTGTAGTACTTTACATGTGTAATACTCTATGTGACAAAAAGTATTTAATGCTTCTTAAA